TTCCTCCAGGGGGTGGTGAGGCCATGCCACCTCCAGACAGGTCCAGCCCCTCAAAGCCATTCATCAAGTCTGCTGCACCACCATTGGGAGCGCCGCTCCCGCTGGCCGGAGCGGCGGCAGCGCCATCGCCAAACACTCCGAGCAGGTCGTCCAGGTTGTTGCTTCCAGAAGGTGCCCCTGCGGCCGGGGATTCCACCCGGACGGGCGTTCCGGCAAGACCTTCGAGACCTGACATCCCACCACCCGGTTCTTTCTGAGCGGATGCCGGCGCGGTGCCATCGAAGTCGATATCCAGCAAATTCTCGACATTGCTCTGGGACTGCGGAGGTGGAGCACTGCCAGTAACCGCAGCTGCTGCTGCCGCAGCTGCCAACGGATTCTCCCGAGCGTTTTGGATTTGTTCCCTAGGATGTTCATTAGCGCGGATTCCGAGACACCAGCATTGTAAAGCGAGGATGGGACATACTCGATAGCAGCTCTTTGTACTGCATCTGCACCGAATCTGCCCTGTCCGACGAATTGCTCCGGAGGCTTGTGGTAGACAGATGCGAGGGTGGACAGTTCACCCAGTAGCTGATCGAGCAGATTCGGGGGAAGAGACTGGATTGTGGTGACGATTGGCGGTTTGTCAGAGAGCACGATGTTCTTAGTAGCATTGGGGTCGCTCGTGTTAGACAGCAAGCGCCAATAGACGTAAGCCCTATCGCGGACATCGGGGTTGTCATTTTCAGCCGTGGCCGCCTGCAGCACTTTCTGGACAAGCCCCTGAGCCTTCTCGGGCCGCTTGAGGAAGAGCTTGACAACGGCGGTCAAGATCTGCAGCTGGGTCTGCACAATGAATTAGCAATTGGCCGAGAGGCTTACAGAGAACAATAAACGAACCTGAGAGAACTCTTCATTGAAGCCTTCCACGAAACCAGCAAGAATGTCACCCGCGTTGCTGATCTTCTCCGCATACTGACCAACAATCCAGATAAGCGCAGCTCGTGCATTGGGTTCATCCAGTTCGTCGATGCACTTGCACAGTGTGGGGATAATTCCTTCGTAGCCGGGATATTTGCGGAAGATGTCCTTGATGACCACGATCGCCTCCTGCACCACATAATTTACCTTGGTATTAATGAGGTCCAGCAAGGTGTTGACACACTTTTCGCTGGCGCTCTCGATCTTGATGGCAACCTGACCGATCGCTTTGACAGCACGGCGCACAAAGTCCATGTCCACCTCCAGCGCGTACTCCTTCAGCTCGGCCAGGAGCTGGTCGACGTTGCGGTCATTCGCTATGCGGACCATGATCTCTAGCTTCTGGAACTTGACGTACGGCGGGTCATTGTACTTGCAGAAGAAGACCCGGAGTTCCTTGTTAAGAATATCCGGTTGCTTCTGTAGCAATAAATCAATGTTCCGTAGAGCCACATATTGGACTTCGGGCGCGGACGACACCAGCGTGACTGAACATAATACATCAGCGAGCCAGTCAGTCAGCAGAATCAAAGATTATCTTACCTAGTGGGGGAGCCATCTTCTTCAGATAGGTTTTCGCCAGCTCATAGTTGACGTTCCTCATGTGAAGGAAAACTACCTTAACTGCCGCCAGGACAACACTTGGGTTGGCATGTTGGAACTGGGGAGAAACCCTTTCGCAAATGTGTTCAGATTCAGTCACTTCATTGGTTCTGTACTCGGCCAGAGTAGTCAAAATCGTGACCCGACCCCATTCCGTGCACTCGTTCAAGGCCATGAGAAGCTTGCGCAGTGTGTTGGAGGTCACCTTGAGGGCTTGCGTTTCAGGGGCAGCATGGTAGATTTCTGACAGTGCGGTAACGGAGTTGGCGACCACCATGGGGTTAGGATCCCCAATCATCTCTTGCAGCATCTCAAGGAAGCCATTTTCCAGGCACATCGCGGGGTTCAGGTCGAAGAGCTTCGCTACACAGATCGCGGCAGTCTTGCGGACATACGGCGACTCATCGCGGAGGGTCTTGCGAAGGGGCTCCTCCATATAATCCACCATCTTGTCCACACGGATACATCCCATTGTCCGGATCGCAAGGGCCCTGATCAGGGGGTTCGGGTCTTCGGAGTCTTGAACGAAGGTGTTGACGGCGAGAATGCAAAGGTCCGGGTGGGATTTGGCGTAGTTCCTATTACGTAGCGAGCGTTCAGTAGAGATCGAATAATATGATAACGAGCGAACACGCACATGAGATAGAGGTATACTAGTTTCTTCTGCTCGAGATCATTGGTCGCAATGTTCTTGAGGACATCCGGGAACAGAGCGGAAACATCCTTGCCCAACGTCATGGCCATGATGGTCTTTTGGATAGACTCCTTCCTATGCGCGCATCAGATAATGTATTATGGGCTAACGGCGTCTCCGCATAAGCAGAGCTATGTCAACGTACCGTTCATATGCATACTGAGATCTGTCGGGAGGTCAGCACCATGTCGGTCACCGATCGGGTACGGGGGACACCATACACAAGACCAGCTCGCAATTCGAAGGTCTCCCCTTTTCTGGGGACCGCAAAGGCCCCCCTTATCCTACTCATAGCCATGCTGAGCGAAACCGGGCTTCAGCGACGACGGGGTCGCGCCTCCGCAGAACCAGATGGGATCGGAAGTGGAAATGCAGGAGACTGCGGGGAATTAATGCGAGGCGGCGAGAGCTTCAGGGAGAACCGGACACGGCAGCAATCCGGCAGAGGATGGTCGGACGAGTAAAAAGAAACAAGACAAGGTCGAAAGGAGAGAAGAAAGGAAGTAAAGAAAACAGACCCTAAGGGAGGGAAGAGGGAGGTTGATGGGGGGGAGCAGGAGGGCCGGGCAGGAAGTGGAAGGAGGACAGATACAATCAGGGAGTCGAGCGAGCGAGTGTCTGGACCCAACACTAACCTGAGCCGCTCTCTTTCTTCCCCAGTTTGGCTTCCCCCCATCACCACCACCACCACCGCCTCCCGTCTTTCTTTCAATCTCCTGTCACAGCACCGTTATTTGCTCCAAGTGCTATGGTAAGTCACTTAGATTTACTTTTCAAAAGTCTACTGCTAATAGCTATATCCTAGGCCAATCTCCCTAATCTCCGACGCCTCTTTGTCGAGGCTAGGACAGAGGCGGAAGAGAACGAGTACTCCAGAACAGCGGTAAGCTCTCGCTAGCTGTCGCTTTACAGTGATCCCATTTATTGACTGGCATGCTATACAGTTCTACAACCTTGTCCTCTTCATCTCTTCCGTCGCCGTTTTCAGTCTGGTGGCTCAACGTATGGGCGGGACAAAATCTGGGAAATGAGGCGCGATTGCCAACACGGATTATTCGATTATCTCGAGTGTCATTACGACCCACAGCCTGCGCCAGGCAGATACTGCGACAGTTAAATCATGCAGCAACCCGCACATTGATCGTTATTCACCATCTCAGTCCGTTTCCTCTCCCTCGCTCTCTAAAAAGGCCAGACTCTTCCGCCCGCGATTCAGCCGCCGCTTTGGTTGACCATCATCACTGTTCTCGCTGGCGCTTTCTTTACCCCATCGCTTGGCTCCTTCTTGGACCATCTCCAGATCAGCTTTGAGTTCACGCTCCTCACGGATTCGATTGGCTTTCTCAACCGAATAGCGCCCCTCCATGCCCGCGTCCTTCAACATGCCCTTGAGGTGATTGATCTTCGCTTTGGGCGTATCGTAGGGAGCCAGCTCCCGTGCCCACATCTTCCGGATCCCGCACTTCAACAGCCAACCTTGCAACCGCTTAATTTCCGCCTGGTTCGGGTCCATATCCGAATCCTTTCCCTTTGCCGTTGTCTGCTTCCTGCCTTTGCGTGGGGGTCCCTCGGCGCTTTTCTGCCGCTTGCGGTTCGGCTTCGGTTTGGGCTCCTCGTCCAGGACAACTGAAAGTTCGCTTTCTGACTCATCCTTTGGTGTTTCTTCAGCGTTCTTCGGCTTTTCTACTTCCTCCTCGTCGGAATCATGAACGTAGTCCTCTGAAGCCTTGGGCGATGGCTGCTTCTTTGGTGCTGCTTTGGTTTGTTTCTTCGGGAGCGTTTCTACCTTGTCTTCCTCCTCGTCTGGTGACCCGTTGGCTGCATCTCCACCATCAGATACCGAAGCGCTCTTCTTCTGGCGCTTGCGCGATGCAGATGGCTTCTCTGGTCTCGTTCGTTTGGCAGGCTTTGCGTCTTCGGAAGCAGATGACGCGGCATCTTCCTGGTCATCCGACACGGGTTCCTGTGTAGCTTTCTCTTCCTCCTCCTGTATACATCAGCAAGTCAGTAGATGATCTCCACAAACATCATACACCTTAGCCATCACACACTATGACAGAAAAGAAAACCCGCCAACTCACCACCTGATCCTTAATAATTTGCTCACTCCTTGTCTTCCAATCCCCCTGAGTCTTGTAAAAGCCCTCTTCTAGCTGCAGCGCCTTCTCCGCAGCCAGCCGCACCCGTTTCACTGTCAATTCCTCCATCTTGCCCGACTTGTACACCTTTGTAACCGCATCACGCAGTGCCTGCTCCAAGGCATCATCGGCAGGCCGACCGGACGCTGATTCAGCTTCCGACTCGGGATCAGAGCTCGAAAGGGCGTATCGTGGCGCCATTGTGCTTGTATATGTGTATGGGGTGGATGGGTTTCCGGTGCGATAACGTCAACTGTCGCGTGGTACCTAGCAGGAGGGGACGCGGCGCTAGTTAATTAGCTAGCTCGATAAGTTACCGATCGCGTTCTAGCAGCACTTTGATAATTTCGTCAGGCACAGAAGCTTAATTATTAGAACTTGAAAAATCAAGCTGAAACGCGTGCTGACGCGAAAAGAATAAGCTAAATCGTCGATCAATCAGAGTGTACGGATTCACGAAGCTTGGATGTCCCCATCATTCCACTGTTCAAGGCAAGGCACAGGCGGAGCGGAGATAACTCGGCTGACAAAGCAGGCACATGGCAATTCTAGAAGCCGGAGGGATTCGACGGAGACATTCTTTTGCTGCATTACCAATCAAACTACTTTCCAATTCCCCAGGATTTGGCTCTTAAGCTCTGTCGCAGACATTGCTCCCTCGTATCTTTGCTCGGCTCAGAGTTCAGACCATTCCGTGTACATACTACTCTTCCGAATTGACTTGATACTACTCTGCCCTACTTCCTACTTCTTCTCCGCAACAGGTCTGAACATCCTCATCCTCCACCAGCATCAATCACCACCTACATAGACCACAATGGCAGACACAACGACACCACCAGAAATGCCAAAACATCTCTTCATTCACCAACAACAGCAACAACCCGCTACACCTTCCTCCTCTACCCAACAACAAGCCTCAGCAACAGCGACAGCGGCAAAAGATGACTCCGTCCCCGCAGGCATGACCAAACTCCCCAACGGAGTCATCCTCGACAAAGACGGGAAGCCGTACGAACTCCTCTCCTCTCCCCATACTCCATATCCCCCTTACTAACGGAATTACCAACAACAGATGTCGCCTCTGCACCTCCGCCGCTTCGTGGCGCGCCCTCACCAAACAAGCCAAATCCACCCCCTCCACCACCACAAGCACCGCCAGCACCATCCCGAAGACCCTCGCCACCACTCCAGGCTACACTGACTGCCCACCAGACTCGGAAGCCCTCGGCCGTTCCACCTGGACCTTCCTGCACTCGTTGACAGCCTCGTACCCCGCGCAAGCGTCAAGCGAACAACAATCCGAGATGCGCCAGTTCCTGGGGATATTCTCGAAGCTGTATCCATGCTGGGTGTGTGCGGAGGACTTCCGGGCTTGGATGGCGGAGCCGAGTGGGGAGAATCAGCCGAGGTTGGGTGGACGGAAGGAGTTCGGGGATTGGATGTGTAGGGCGCATAATGAGGTGAATCGCAAGTTGGGGAAGAGTGAGTTTGATTGTCGGTTTTGGGAGGAGAGGTGGAGGAAGGGGTGGGGGGATGGAAGGTGTGAGTAATTTACTTTGTTGCATGTGTGGGGTGTGTATGAATAGATGATAGATATAGACTACTGCTACCTTTGGATATGGCGATATGATGGAATTGGTGGGAGGGGTCTACTACTGTATATTTTACTGACTATTAACTGCTGGGGTGATGGACATCTCTACTCTGTGTCTGTCTCATCTCATCTCTGATCATGATTTGATATGATATGATAATACTATCTCACCTCTTTATTTGTACAAGAACAGTTCTGCAATAGAAATGAAGAAAGAGAAGAAAATAATAGAAATATCTCAAAACAACATCAATAACAATAAATAGATGAATGAATATACTAACGTCGCTGGAATTAAGAATTTCACACATCGGGACAATCCAAAGCAGGAGCTTCCTCCAGCCATGGCGCCAACCTTCCTCCCCAACCAGAATCCATCCTCCCTTTTCCCCACCAGAGAAAGCCCATTTCTATCATGTTTGCACATTGAGACGGGGAATTACAAGCGTGAAGAAAGAAAAAGGAAAGCCGTCACATCTCGTCATCATCCTCAGTACTGACCCGGGACGAACAGCCGCAGCCCGCTGGCCGGCGCACCGATTTCCGTCACCTGCGAGATCCGGCACACAGTGCCCTTGTACTGATCGTGGTACTTGGCGCCCGTGAACGGGTCCGACACGCTCGGCGAGCCGCCGTAGATCGGTGTGAACGAGGCAGCGCAGATATCGAATTCGGCAAATTGGTCGAATTCAATGTCGATCTTGTCTTGCGGGCTGCGCTCGCACTGCGCCTTGATCTTCTTGGCCTGTTAAATAGGTTAGTATATAAGTATACTAAAGGGGAGCGAATGCATATGGCTTACCTGTTCCAGGAGCTTAGGCGAGCCACCGTTAGCCAGCATGCGGTTGGCAAAGCTGAGGGCCGAAGAGTAGTTCTTGTTAGCAAACGCCAGCTTCATAGCAGCCATAAGCGCCAATTGCCGGTGTGCAACCTCCAGCTTGGGGATCGTGAAGTAAGCGGAAAGTTCGAGGCTTCGCTTGAGGTTGTCGGGGGTATCGGTGGGGATGGAACGGCGCTCTAATTCAATAGACATGGCCAGGATGTATTCCCGAGCGGTCTCAACAATCTTCTTCGCCTGCTCAACCTCCGCCTCGGACGAGACAGTGTTGACCAGAACGGAGTTCAGGATGTTGCGGAAGATCCGCACGCCATCTTCCAGCTTGTTGGCCCGCATGGCGGCGTAACCCTCCTGCAGATCCACGTTGGCGATCGTCTCCAGGTCCTTGGGGATGATAGGCAAGACCTTGCGGCTATCCGTCTCATCGACGGTGCGACGGACATAGTTGACCAACGGGGGCAGGCCAGCGGAGGCCGGAAGGAAAGTCTTGGAGGCCTTGTACACCTCCAAGAACCGCGGCTTGAGAGGGGCAAAGTTGACCGCACCCACTTGACGGTTAAGCAGTTGCATAGCAGTCTCGAAAGAGCCAGCGGCGACATGGTCGGCTGCCAGAGGGGAATTGCGAGCCCACAGGTCGGCCTCGGTACTGCCCGCACCGGCCTCTGCGCTGTCCACGTTCACGAAGTCAACGTCCTCCTCGACATTGATCTCATCTCCCATATCCCATCCAGCGACATCCTCTTCCTCATCCTCGAGGGTATCGCGCGCAGTAATAGCCTCGTCCTCCTCCTCGGGCTCAAACTCGATCGCCGCAGCCTCCTCGTCGCCGGCACCAACCTCACCAAGCAGGGCCTTCTCGAAAGAGGAATGGCCAGCAGCCTTTACAGGCCAGTTCGACTTGAAGGTAGGAACAATCGGATGGGGGACCCGCGCAGGTTCGTCGACGGAGGGAAGGGTGATCTGGTCCTCTGTGAGCCCGCAGGCTTCGAGGATTGACTCAGCCTCTTCCGTCAGACCGTGAGACTTGGCGGTGAGGTATGCGAGGGGGTCTTTCACTTTTTAGCAAGAAATCATCATAATGCTTTGGAGAAAACTTACATTGGTCAACTTCCTTGAACATCTGAATCCGATCTTCAACGTCGCCGCGGTAGATGGCGTTCTGGAAGCGCGAGGTGAAATCACCACGGTGTTCGGCGATCTTGGCCATTCTCGACAGCTTCTCTTGGTCACCAGTGGCGAGGTACAGGAAGGACAGCTTGTCAAAGTTTCTTTGCTTCTGGTAGGACATCTCCACCGTCTGGTGGTTACCGTGAGCGAGAGCCTCGGCTCCGAGTCTGCTCCACAACTTGGGACGGTCGAGTTCCCTAGCCATCTCAATAGCCACCTCCAGGTTGCCGCACTCCAGCGCAAGCTCGAAGCGGGTCTGAAGGTCTTGTACGAACTGCAGCGCAATCTCCGGGTACCCCTTCTTTTGCAGGTAGGAAATGATACTCTGACCGACCAAGCTTGAGGTCTTGATAATCTGTAGCATTTCATCGTAGTTCCTCTTGACAAGAGCAAGCTTGAAGCGGTACTCGGTAGGGTCAATCTCCAGAACGCGAGGCTTGGCATTACGATCCAGGCAGTAGACATTGCGGCCCTTGACCTTGACGAGGTAGACTGTCTGATCCAAAGTGCGAATGATACCATTGTCACTGTGACATTGTCAGTATGCAAACCATTTTAATCATGAAGAAAGGAGACAAACCCGTTCAGAAGGGAGTATTTAACGTGGTTCAAGGTGGAGTAGAGAAGGACGCCAGCGTCATCCCAGGCTGCGCTCTTGATCCGGATGGTTTCGTGCAAGCTGCTCACCTGCTCGAGGGACTTGGTCACGATGGTGACGTTGTGCTTGCTGAGCAGGGCAGCGTAAAGGCCGTCGTTAGACCAGACAACGTACTTGACACCGCTCACAGCCAGCTCCGCCAGTTGCTTCTTCTGCTGGATGTCAAAGAGAACGACGTTGGTGGGCGTGATGAAGAGCAGGCAACCAGTACCGCCAAAGTAGATGTCGGTTGTGCCAGCCGGAGGCTTGATCGATTTCGTGGTCGAGTTGCTCAGGTCCTTGATGTCCACCTGCTGGTTGCCTTGGCTGAAGACGGCGAATCGGTTGCGCGCAACAAAGACAGCAGAAGAGCCCTGGCCGCGCTTGACATCCGTGGGTTCAACGGCGCCAGTAGCATCCCGCGGGAGATGGATCAGCTCGTACACGCCACCATCAGTAGGAGAGGTGACCAGGATGGCACGCTCAGCGGGGTTGTACGAGAGGGTGCGAGGCGGCACCCAGGGGGAGCCGAGCTTGCGCAAGGACAGCATAGGAGGGGTCTCGACGTTCTTGGCGAAGTCATACGACTTGACGTGCTTCTCCTTGGTGATGTAGAAGAGCTGGTTCTGGTAGACGGCCGAGGCAGGACGCTCACGTTCCAGCTTGAACACCATGACACCAGTGTCGTGACCAGCGGCGAACAGGTTGATTTCCGGGTGAGCAGCAATAACCCAGAAGCGGTCCAGATCGCGCTTGAATGATTGGACGGACGTGCGCTTGTTCAGATCCCAGCACCGGATAGTCTTGTCCTCACCGACGGATAGGATCAGGTCCTGGTGTGGGTGGAACAGACAAGCAGACGCATTCTGGAAATGTCCACGGCAAGTGTCAACTTCCCATGCCTTTGTGTCTACACGTCCATGTCAGCCTGATATACCAATTTTCCATGACCAGTATCTTGACGTACCACTCATTCTCCACAGCTTGATAAGACGATCGTCACCCGCGGAGACAATCAGGGGCAGAGTCGGGTGGAAAGACACCCAGTTGACACCCCGGTCGTGACCCTCCAAAACAAACTTCACCACCGCATCAGTGTTTCCGAACATATCTGCCTGGGCGGGGTTGGCGCGGGCCATCTGATCTTCGAAGGACATGGACGTCGGGGCCGAGTGCTTCTTCCGCAAACCCGAAATATCCCAAATGCGAACCGACTGGTCCAAGGAGGCGGAGGCGATGAGATCTTCGGTAGGATGGAACTGCGCGCACATCACATAGTGGTTGTGGCCGGTCATGGTGCAGACTGTGAAGCCATTGTCAGCACCCCTCGGGACAGGTGGCCAGATTCCTACTTACTCAAGGAGCGGTTTTGCCAGTTCCAGATTCTGATGGTCTGATCGTCCGAACACGAAAGAATCCATGGCAGCTCATGGTGGAAGAATACCGTCCGCACGTAGTCCAGATGGCCATTCAGTGTGAACATGCAACGGCGGGTCTGGTAGTTCCAGACCTTGATCTTGTAGTCGTCACCTCCGGAGACGAAGAGGGGCTGTGTCGGGTGGAAGTCAATGCCACGAACGGGGCCATCGTGTTCTTCGAAGCGATCAATGAGGGTTCCCATGCGGTAATCCCATAATTGGATGGTTGATGAATGAAGGGATACTAGGATCCATGGCCTGTTCGAGGGTCAGCCGGGCTTGGTTTGCGACGCGTTGAACGGGACAATTGTCCACTAACCGCTTGGGATGGAAGGCAATTCCCTTCGCGCGGGAGGATTTGGATTCAAACTATTAAAGAGGATGACGATTAGGTCCTGTTCGTGAGAGGAGCAACAGCTCCGCGGCGATAGGGGGAGCTGGCAATGGGGAGGGGATAGCGGACCTTGGTGAGCATGTTTGGGGAGGACTGCATGTTGAAGGAGGGTTGGCCGGAGCCGCACCATAGAGAAGCAAGCTCCGCACACAGGTATTAAAAGAGGTCAGAAAGGCGACCACCGCATCCACAACAACGGCGGGAGAGAATGGGCAAAGGGGGGAAGACGGGGGAGTTCGGAGTGTCTGGACTCAGTCACTCTGGGCAGCTGGTGGTTCCGTCTTGGATGGCGGTAAACGTGGACTTATTGTGTCGCAGCCAATAAGCGAGTCCCGCGGGCCAATGATGGGCCCGGCGGTGAACAGCTTGCCAGGCACTTCTTTTAGACCCTCTCTTACATTCTGGGGAGGCGATTATGGTTGACTAGTTTACTTGGGGGACTTAGTCAAACTGCATTTCTCCCTCCTTCACCCCGGTTCGAGTGGAGTTCACCGGAGGTTATTCGAGTGTGATCTCACTCTCCCCTTCTCGATGGTTCTTCGGGATCTCCCCCGTCGGGTCCGTCCCTCCTCTGGTCCCCTCAGAATGGAATCCGACACGATTCCTCTTATCTTGGTCATGTTTTTGTCTGTTACAACAAGCGTTTGAAGCTGTATTGTGAATTTCCGTTTCCCTCATATGTTCGTACATTTATATCAATGGAAAAGCGTCAACTTGTGACTCTATACGCTATTAAATCGTCATCGTTTCTATCCCGCAGCGCATGCGTGGTTGGCGAAACGCTCTACAGAGCAGCAGCTAACCTTCAGAAGGGCGAATTTGTCCATACAAGGTTCGCTCTTTTGGATTTTGGCTAAGACAGGATGACAGAAATTCTCGAAAGTGAAGGCCCTACGTTTCTTCGACCGCACGATGGGCCAGGGGCATCTACATCTCAGCCACGCAACACCCAGGGCATTTCAGGGAACTCGTCTGGAGCAGGTACAGTTCCTCTGGAAGGGGATTCACCGTCTACTCATAGACATGAGGCGAACACGGATGTAGTTCTACCGTATTCTATCGAGGAGCCAGACGACGAACCTGCCGAGACTGCAGGAACGACGACGGGCAAGCCGGTGATACGCTTACTTGTTGGAGATGATTCGGAGATGTGGCAGGGAGAGCTGGTGGACTCGATGGAGGGGCTCCAGTGCGACTCAGACCAAAGCGCTAGCCAGACAAGAGGGAAGAAAAGAAAGCCTTCCACGACGGCAACAGGTACATCTCGACCATCGCGACAGTCATCTTCCGGCTCTATACCCAATGCTCAACGTGACGAGTCCAATGATGGTCCCAAGAGGAGGCGCCGAAAAGGCAGATGCACGAAGGATCATTTGTCCCCAGGGATGTTTTGGCAGCATGACAGCAGTGAGACCGGATCGTCGGGGGGCTACAGTTCAAGGTCTCCGTCAACGGATGACAGTGGAACTCAGCCTCCCAGTCACACCGATACCGATGCAATGGATCTAGATGAATGAGTGATGTTCCTACGGGAGATTGACATCGCACCTCATCCTTTTCGTCTTCAATTCTCCGAATCTATATGCAACACGTGACGTAGTTGACGCGGCGCTAGCCAGAACGGGCTGGACCCTGTATGACGTCACGCGGTTCTCATCGCCATATCCGGCGAATCTCAACGACTTCCATTGGCGACCACGAGTCGATCGTTCATTCCCCTCGCCCATTCATCTCTGCTCGCGGTCCCTGTGTGCATTTCTACTCAATTGGCTTACTGAGTATTCAAAAAATTGACACATATTGCTACAATGGCCGCTACTAGAACGTCCACCCGTCAAGCTGCTCAGAAGGCAAAGGAAGCCATTGCGGCTGCTCCTGATGTCAAGAGCCGAGGTCCTGCTGGCGCGAAGCGCAAGGAAACCACCGACAAGGGTCCGGCACCGAAGAAAGGGAAAAAGGAGGATGACAAGGTAAAGCCCGAGAAGGATCAGCAGCCCGCAACAGAGGACGAAGTGAAGACCACAGAAGGTATGGCGCACAGTCAATGTATCGAGGTTCGATGCTGACGAGATCAGAACGTGCGGAGGAGCCGGAAAAACCTGAGTCAAAGCCAGAGGAAGCGCCTGAGAAGCCTGCGGAGAAGGAAGAACCGCAGAAGACGGACGAAGAGCCCGCAGCGGCGCCATCTGAGCCCGCCGACAAAGCCGAGGATAAACAAAAGCCGAATGAGCCCGAGGAGAAGCCAGAGCAGAATGTAGAGCAGAAGCCGGAGAAAAAGAGTGAGGAGAAGCGCGATGCAGAGCCAGACACCAAGCCAGAGGAGAAATCCGAGGAGAAACCCGGTCCTGCTGCTGACGGCGCCGAAGCCGGCGTCAAGACGTCACAGGAGCGGGAGGAGAAGGTCGCATCAAATGTACTCGAAAAGGGAATTGTCTATTTCTTCTACCGACCGCGCGTAAATGTGACAGACCCGCAAAGCGTTAGCGATGTTGCCCGCAGCTTCCTGGTGCTGAGACCAACACCCATTGGCGCCACATTGAACCAACAGCAGGGCTCTGTGGAGCCTGGCGCAAAGTGCCGGCTACTGATGCTGCCCAAGAAGAAGTTTCCCACCTCTGGCAAAGAACGGGACATGGGATTCGTCGAAAAGGCCGGACACAGTATGAAGTCGCTCCAAGAGAGCTTCATCGCTGGCGATACGTACGAAACGTCTACCCGTGGCGAACGAACTGTTCCCGAAGCCAGACCGTTTGCCGAGGGCGTCTACGCGATCACATCTACAACTCGGGCGTCTCACTTGGCTTATATTTTGACCATTCCGGAGACTATTGGATCTATTCAGGAAGACTTTGGTTTGCATTCTCGGGGCAGCTGGGTTATACAGTCGAAGAATCCCAAATACCCTGGCCCATCCTATGCTCAAATTCAAAAGGACCCCGAGTATCCTGAAAGGTACATGATAGCCACCACCGCATTCCATACTGAAAAGCACTGCTAATTAACATAGTATACGCGAGAAGTTCGGCGACTACCGTTGGGTCCCGTTGCAGCCAGAGTTCATTGACTACCCCAACGCGCAGTTCCTGATGATTGGCGAGGCCACCGACGACTTGGGCAAGGCCGCGACAGCCGAAGAGGGCGGTAAGCAGGCCCACGAAGCACAGCCCGGAGAAGAATTGGAGAAGCTGGGGCAGGAGAATGAAGAGCGGATTGAAGCTCTACGGGGTAAGTTGTCAAGCCTGTGTTGTGGTCGGATGGCTAACTTGTGTTTAGGCGACGACACCATCTATGAAGATCTGGGATTGGATGCGAAGAACTATCCCAAAGTGCCGACGACCTGGAACAGCGAATGAAAAGCTACGAAGTCTTGACGAACGCAAACCAAGTATGCCTACCAGGATATGATAGATGAAATGAAATGACATGACTCGGGTTTGAGTAGCCACCCTGACTGTAAAGCCCGTAGAGAAGCTGGTATTGGCTGGCGCTGGATACTGCTAAACCCCTCGGGTCCGGCTAGTCCGTCTGTAGAGCAAATCGCATGCATCGATGCGCCCACGTTCCTGCAGCTCGAGTATCTCAATCTGATAACCCTTGCTGATCATTGGAGTGTACTACTTTCAAGGCATTGGTATCAGATGGTGCCTGTCACAGCGTTTTCCGGCCGGTGTCCATTGATCTCATCTCACTTGCACACATAGCACGGTAAAGTATTAATTCTTGCATCTCCCCCACCACTTCATGATTGGAACTAAACACAATTCATCCATCCGCACTATGCGATTCCACTCTCTCCTCCCCATGCTGCCCTCTGCAGTGGCAGCCCTTCCCTCTTCCTCCTCTGCTTCCTTCTCCAACATCGTCAACCAAACCACTTGCGGCAGCACCACGTACAGCTACACGGGCCTCGAAGGCTACGGCTTCGTGCCCTCCAACGCCACAGACAAATATGGCGACACGATGGGCGGCTTTGGCAGTTCCGCTGCCTTTGACCTCTCCACCTGGCAACGAACCAGCCCCAACACTTACACCGGCATCATCTACTGTCTCCCAGATCGCGGCTGGTACATCCTCTCACCCCTCCCCTCTCATAACACACCTCACTGACATCTCCCACACCAGGAACACCAACGGCACCCTCAACTTCCAACCACGCATCCACACCTTCAACCTCACCCTCCAACTATCCCCCAATGCATCCGCCACCCACCCATCCCCTCCCAACATCCACCTGCACTACCTCGACACCCTCCTCCTCACCGGCCCCGACAACGCACCCCTCACCGGCCTCGACGCTATCACCACCACCACCCACAAAACTACCACAACCACCCAGTACCCCAACTTCCCCCCTCTCCCAATAGCCACCTACCCCGGCGATGGCTTCGGCGGCCCGGGCCCAGGCGGACACCGCATCCCCCTCGACGCCGAAGGCCTCGCCTTACCAGCCCACGACCCAGCGCACATCTGGGTGTCAGATGAATACGGACCCTACGTATACAAATTCGACAAGCACACCGGCCGAATGGTCTACGCCATTCAACCGCCCCAGGCGTATCTCCCTCGGAGGAACAACACTCTCAGCTTCAGCGCGGATAGTCCGCCTATCTATGATGCGGAGCTTGTACCCATCCCTGAAGATCCCTCAACAGGGAGGGATAATAATCAGGGATTCGAGGGATTGACTATCTCATCTGATGGGAAGAAGTTGTATACTTTGCTACAATCCGCATTGAATCAGGAGGGTGGGCTGAAGAAGAAATACCGCGATCAGGCTCGGTTACTGCAGTATGATATTTCGAATTCCTCCGGAGTAGACGCTGTCTATGAAGCGGAGTATGTGGTAACCCTCCCGAAATACTACAATCCCCAGAAAGGTCACGATATCGTCGCCGCACAATCGGAGATTCATCTCCTCCCGACAGGTGACTTCCTCGTATTAGCGAGAGACTCTGGGTTCGGACATGGACAGAGTGAATCTCTGTCCGTGTATCGACATGCTGATATCTTTCACATCTCAACTAATACTACGACGGACCTGAAGAACCTGAGGGGTGTGGATGCCCCTAATGGAACCATCGCCTCTGATAAAGGTATCCTACATGATGGTATCACATCCGCAGAGTACTGCCCCTTTCTGGATTATAATGTCCCCGGGCAATTGGCGAAGTTTGGTTTGCATAATGGTGGAGAGCAGGATCGGTGGCTGTTGAATGAGAAGTGGGAGAGTTTGGCCCTTATTCCGGTGAATCCCGATACGGAGGATAATAGAGGTGGTGGTGGGGAGAAGGAGTATTTCTTGTTTAGTATTAGTGATAATGATTTTATTACGCAGGATGGTGAGTCGATCCTCTCTCTTTTTCTTGGTTTACTTTACTGGTCTTCTGAGTTGGTTTAAGGTGGCTAACAAGTAGCGTCTAGGGTACATGAATTTCGGTCGGTTCAGGTATGCAGACGGCTCGGGGTATAATCTTGATAATCAGGTGTTGGTGTTTAGAGTTCGTTTCTAGATTCTAAGGTTATACAAAAGTTGTGGGACGGTGAGTGGTGGTCATACAATTTCCTATGAATATATATTTGCGTGTATGTGAAAATGACGGACACGGTACTTCAGTAGTTATTATCATCACTACTACAACTAGGTTACAGCCATCACCTTCAGTGCTTTTATAAACAATAGTACTACTACCGAATAAACTGGAATAGTTAAATTGAGATATGAGAGGTGGATACTAAGAAATCCTAATAGATAAACCCGTGGTGTGCGACTTCACCAGGTATAGCACCCAGCTGCCATAAATCGACCACCACTCAAGAGAAGAGAGTAGTACTTCAAAAGCAACACCAGCGTCGCGGAATCGAGTCCGGTACATAAGGTATGTTTACCTAGCCTGTCCCCCTCGCATTTAAAAATGCACAGTAATCACAACGGACCCTCGTAAAACCGGACGCCAACCCCACCAGCTCGTGACCAATAAAGCGATCGGTTAATGAGATGAAATATTGATCGCACGCAGAATATCATCCAGCGACCAGCCTGGTCCACCCGGAACAATCTCCGCCCAGACTTCTTCCGGCACGGCGTCTTCGGCATCCAGCAGGCTCCAGTTGGGACTGGGTTCCGGCTTGATCCATTTGAAGTCTTCGACCTGGCTCCAGTGGTCTTCGTCATCTGGGCGATCGTGATCGAGCGTCTAGGTTTTGTTTTGAGTTAGTAAAAGCGGAATATATTTGCAGGGTGGACACCTACGTAAACACGGGGTTTCCGACCGAATCGGACATTGCTGCAGTCCTCGATGATCGGGTTGCTGGAGCAGCTGAGGTAGACGTCCACATTGGAGCAGTCGTGCATCCGGAACTGCCGACAGTCAATCACAAGAATGCTGTTCTCTACCCCAGTGATATGGGCTGGGCCGTTGATCTGGCCACAAACGAGCAGACTCTCTTTGACGCTCTTGATAGTAAGACTGGTGTATGGCTTTCCGTTGGCAGTGGGAATGGACATGTCGACTACACAGTGACGGAGATGGGTGATGGACGCGGGCACAGTTGCGGTCGAGCCTGAGGACGGCAGCATGATGTGCAGGTTATGGTGATTGTTCACGGACACTGAGGATACCGCCGTCGCGGCAAATCCAGCCCCTACGTCTGACTTGGGCTTGTCCTCATCTTCGTCCATTGTAAAGGCAGGGATAGAGGTCGGGGCAAGCTCCGGTCTTTGTAGATGAAGGCGGTTGTCGGGCTCGTTCAGAGGCGTTGACGGATACATGGGGGTTTGTGTCGCGGACGAGCTGACTGAAGATGTGTCAGGGGAGGGGAACCCAGGTATACTGCGTCGACCTTGAGCGGCAAGATGCGCTGCATCGGACAAAGATATGGCGGAGGCATTCTTCTTGGTCTTGAAGCTAAACTTGGGTCGTGGCTCGACTGCAGCTCGGGTTTCGACGAGTTTATCCTGCAGAGCTTTGATGGCCTGCAAAAGTCAATATGTCAAGCGGTACTCAGGCGCGAGAGTGTGTACCTCAGCATATATCCGCTGGTCATAGGTTGGGATATAGCTGGCCGCGTCCTTGACCTCGTTGGACAAGCGCGCAATGCCGGCCAGACAGTGATCGGTTGCGTCCGTCCGTTCTCCTCCCACTAACGAGGTGTCTGCCAGCCGATCCATCTGTTCCTGGAGCGCTACAGGAAGAACAGGCGTCAGACTCCTCTCTTCTGAAAAGAGGAAAGAGCATAGGTTATCAGCTGGACCAGCTCAATCATACCAGTGATCTCATGCTGAAAATAGCGGAAGAACCGTTCCTTCAACGGGATTTCGGACTTGAGAATGGTTTGGTTCTCGGACTGAGAGGGCCGACGGGCCGGGTCAAACTCAGGCATCGACATAATGGCGATGGTTTAGATGATGGGTAGAGAGTATAAGAGGAAAGGGAAAGGACGAGAAGATGCAAGTCGACGGCGTCCTGGGGTTTGGAAGAACGGAGCGGATGAGATGTATTGATGACGTCGACCCGAGCTCGCTTCACCTTTTTTTGCAGTCGAAGCACCAGAAGTTTGGAGCTTGAATTTCGGGACAGGAGAGGCAGGAGGTGGTGAATATTGTGAATATTGCCTTGCGAAAGAGAGCAGGATGCTAGCAAGTCCCAGACACACGAAGGATTAGCTATTCACGTCCAATGCACGACAGGGCATCAGTCCACATCAGCGATAGGGGGGAAAGAGACCGAGAGGGGCAAGCGGCGTCTCGATGGCCAATGCCGAGTCGATCACCCGCCGGTCCACCTCCGGACTCCCCGGAATTCAAGCAAAGGGAATCCAGCATTTACCCACCCCAGTAGGTTAGGACGACATGCACAAGCAGCGTGTCCAGCTCGCGGTGGCACGAGACCTGAATTCACTGACTGGGCCAGTTTTAGCTACGCGAGAGCAAATTGACTCCAACTTTGGTGGTGACGTCGACTAATCGGGCCGCTCGGAACTCGGCGATTCTCACCTCCGCGTTGTGTTGACGTCCCCGCACTAGTCCCTTTCGGGCCACGACAGCGGCCACTCCCGAAATGCCTTGACAAACAAAAGGTCATGGAAAGATAAATAAATCAATAGTAAAGGATATTGTGGATAGATAGCATACAATTCATACATTCATTGCACATTAAATCAGAATATATAGTATCTCATCACACATACAGCCAGAATGCATTGCAGCCTTTTATTCCAAAGCGCCAACGCCCAATGTCAGCCGCCAGACTCCACATCCACCTTCCCTTCAAGAATCACGTCGACGATAGCTCCGGCAAATCGGGTCGCGGAAGAGAGGGAAGGCCATCGATCTCTGCCAGAAGTTCGGTCGAGAGCAACGAATGCCGTCGACGTTGGCTATGGAAATCAGCTGCCAGTGGCCGTTCGACTACTAGTCGGTCGAAATCGGATCGCAGATCGCAGTCGCTGGTCGTCTCAATGCCGTCTTGCATGCGCACCGACCTCAGCACCAATTTGCCTGCCTTTACCCAGAAGGCAAGGACCTCGGTTTCCTGAGGGAAGGACAATGCCAGTTGTCCCGGTCGGAAGACAGATGGGCTAATCTTGGATGAAGCCTTCCTCACCCGCGAGAGCTGAAGACGCCCGTTGGCCTTGGAATCCCCCACGTATACCTCGCACATCCCGTTCGCTATAATGAATCGCGTCCCGGAGGGTGACTGCGCCGCGTGCACCACTCGCGTACTAAAGGAATCATTCGTTGTCTTGTCGTCCAACATCGAGAAAAACGCGGGGTATTCTTTCGCAAAGAAGGCCGTAAGGAGAACCGCATGCTGTGTACCATCGTAGAATACCCCCGTAAAGTCCCCGTCGTTGCTGGTCCACTAGAAAAAAAAATGTTAATTGTACGATTCTAGTAGATGGAAGGACGGATGTACATACCGATGGAAGCTTGAACGACTTGGACTTGTCAGGGACAATGCTCCATTGCTGAAAGGTGCAGTTCCACACGTCGACGTAGGCATAATGGTCTCCAAGATGGGTGGCAATGGCAAAGTGTTTCCCATCTGGAGAAAATTGCAACTTCCTCTCGATGATAGCTTCCTGTCTCTTTCCCTGATATGCCGTCCCCTTGGCATTGGGAGACGCGCCCATCACAGACCGGTGACCAAAGTCCGACGACCGATCCATGCCACTACCGAGTGAGACTCTCTGGATAGTCCGCGTGCATATCTCGTATACTCGAACTTGGTCTTGGAGGGTAAACGCGACATATCGATCGTTACGTGACATTACCATGCAGGTAACGGGGAAGGTCTGGTTTTCCGTTTCGATGGTGAGGTAAGCTTGGGGAACGTCGCTGTCGTTCTCAAACACGACGAGCTCGTAGTGCTGTGTCTGTCAGTGTCGCTTCACAAAGCAAATTGTGATAGGTAAAAAGATTACATACTTGTCCAACAGAAGCCAGGACGGCGCATCGCTGATCTCCTGCCGCGGCTTGTTGTACGCCAGGAATATCATATTTATGACCCTTGGGCTTTTTACCATCCCCTACGCTGGTTTCGAACCTCATCACCCAGTTGCTGCCTGCGCCCCAGAACAGCAGGCAGCTTCCCGAGGTCGAGAAGCAGAACCGGGGTTGACGAGGTAACTGATGTCCTCTGGCCGAGTTTCTCCTGAAGAGCGATGCCCCACCCCCAAAAGGCAGCTTGACATTTCTGAGGTCGCGGGAAAGGGTTTTAATTGCTTGCCTGTCAAACGACTGGTCCGTCCTACTTCGTGATAGGACCGGGCTGAAGACTTCGGTGGTGGTGGCAATAGCCTGCTTGCTCGTCACCTTCGACAACGGGGCTGGGTTCGAGGCAGGTGAAATCGGGCGTTTTGCCGGGTCGGACTCGAGCCGCGAGGACTGACTGGTGGAGTGACTGAGGGAGCTAGAACAGGACGTGGTGTCCCTCGAGGTTGAGTCAAGAAGAGAATGGCGCCGCTCTGCCTCCGAGTCCGAGAAGAAATGCAGGGCATCTGATAATTGCTCTAGGGGCTCGATCATCCGAGCATGCTGAACCCTCTTATTGCCTGGACATAGGGGACAGTCGATGTCCATCGTCAGAAACTCGGGGCTTCCTTGTAATTGCTAATCACCGTCAACATCTTTGCCACAAGCACAACTAGCATTGCAATAATTCCGCTCCCTACCTCGTAAGCACTTTTGTCATGGGCCTTTAGGCTCTCCTCCAGTAGTGGCCCAGGTACCGGATGCACCGCAGGACAGTTGACGACGTAGACAGCGCTGACACGGGAAGTCTTTGGTTGAGGTTTCGGATCCGCTTCGGCAGCAGAAGAGCTCTGTAACCACTGCGTGAGGTGTTGTTGGTAATCATGGGAAAAGGCTTCTAATTCCCCGTTGCAGTCCCACATTTGTACTCTGCGATTGATAAGCCACCGCACGAACTGCCCTGAAGCTTTCTCCCAAGAGGTCCGTATGGGAGACATTTGGTGCCAGGTATCCCGAATCCTCCGGGTCTGTAGTGGCGGGTGTTCGTCGGCAGTCTGACTCAAGATGATCGTTGCGAAAATGCGAAGAGGCGCGGTGTTGAATTCATCATCGAAGGCAGCCAGGACCGTCCTCGTGAGCTTCTTCTTGATTTCCTGTGCTTGATTAAAGGATTCGTCAACTTTGTATGCTGCTGGACTGGTGTAGCCCTGTTCTTGAGATATTCGACGGCGATCGATATGACACTGGATGATTGCGGAGTCCACCGCCCAAAGCATATCGTATAGAAGACAGAAGGACACCAACTGATCCGCACCGTTTTTCATTACGTTCGTCAGAAGATCAGTGATAAGTCTCTCTGGGGCGCCCGAAAGTGGATACTAAGACATAGTAAGTTCCTGTCCCCATCACAGCATATTTTCTCAACAACACTTACAAGACCCGTTGCGAACGGAGGAAGATAGGGCTTTCCACAGTCCAACAGGAAGGCCTGGCTCGTTGACAGATCTGGGGATCCAATACTAGTTAGGGCCTTGGGCAGGAAATCACTAATCAGGAAGCGCTCGACATTTGAAAGGTCCGGGTTCCTCCATGCCGCTCTCATGGCTCGCTCAAACTGGAACTTCCGGTCGGTATCAATCGCCTCCCCGCGCAGCAGGAGCACTCGAATACCCGTGAGTAGCGTATGCGCGATGAGAAGCCTGTATCGAATAAAGTCGCCATCGGTCGTTTTATGGGAGGGAAAGAGCTCGACCTTGACTTTAACCAGGTACATCAAAGCCGAGAAGATCGTCTCCGTGGGGAGAAGATAGGGTAGGAAGTAAGGATGACAGTCGCGAACATGGCTCAAACCCTGGAGATAGGTTCGCTGGGCGTCGAAGATGGTCTTGATCCAGAAGACGGACCGAGTGAGAGGCTCAACCGATGCCTTGGCATCTTGTTGGTAGAGCGCGATGTCCAGCGCATGCTCTCCGATGATTTCACGTAGGATGTGGGCGAGATCACGGCGGCCCAGCTGTTCCCACACGGCTGCCACCAGCGGATGTGACATGGGGAAAACCGGGATGGCAGGCCACGGACATAAGAGCGAGCAGGACTAAAGTTCGATCACCAGATGACTGGTTTGGGGGGCACGACAAGGAGATCCGATCATCGACAGAGAGCCGCAGCGACAAAGAATGATGTTGTTTCAGAGTAAGAGGAGAAGGAAGAAAGCAGGTTGAGGCGCCGTGCCCACCTGCTGCCAGGTGACCCCGACTGATTGGGGGGGAACGCAACCATGCCGTACTAGGACGAAAATGCCTTATGTCGGTGACCTGCAGCCCTCCTCGAATTTTTTTTTTTTCGGCCAGCTTATGCGAGGCTGCGTGTCTGTCTTACACGGTTTGCTGATTTGCTGCCCGTCACCCAGTCATCCGGCCCGCTAATGGACACGGGAGGGGTTGCAGACGCCCCAGCCTCGCCGGTTGATGATAAGTTAAGAAGTACCTCGTAACTCCTTGCTACTAGTAATGCAGTGGTGGTGTTAGCCATCGGAGAACCAACAACAGTGCAAGAATGGGGAATTGCGATTGGAGAGGCTAACTGTGGGAACTGTCATAGCTTGGAGGACCCATTTGGGACTTGATGGGCGATGGTCCGGGCTGGATCGAATGTGACCGAAGCAGAGCAAAGCAGGAGGGATAGGGAATTAGGAATGGCAGTGTGTGCGCAAGAAGTGGAAACGGAGAAGATCATTGATTCCTGGCCGGCGATGGGAGACGGGGAACAGGGATTGCGGGTGGAGGAGCGAACCAAAGCAGTAAGGTACCGGCCCCAGGCTGCAACTAGACGGAGCGACTAGTTGGTGTCCCTGGTTCTCCTCTTCACGATCATTGCCCTGGAAGGGATCTGGCTCACTTTAGGGCTCCTTCGCTTGACCCGGTTGCTGAGAGAAGCTTCAGTGCATGTTTCACAAACCATGACTTTATTGATGCCTCCTCCAATGATCCTGGCAGGTGAGATGCATGGTGATAATGACCGACTTGGATGCATAGAATGCTTACGGTGCCTGGAGGGATGGGCGGCACAACGAGGAGGGGCCAAATAGCCTAAACTAAGCTAGAACATTGGACTAATTGCTGTAGTCACGTCTATTGTGTATCTAAGAGTAAACTAATTGTTTTCACTAGTAGCTCGTTACCCCGCCATTGTCTCTCTTCATCCTTGTCTTTTTCCAGGCACCATTTCTGGTAGGAGTCTCTCCTCCATCCGTCCGTCTTTATTCATCGCTGACATATAATCCCACATTCTTAACTCCCTGCTAACTGATTTGGTTACTGACTAGGCTGGTCCAGGTAGTACCGCCGTTAGAATAATTTTTGGACCCCACGGCCCGTCCGTCTCGCCTACAATTAGCGGCAACCACCGATGGTCAATCTCCGCCCAATCCAGCAGCAGCAGCTGTCTGTCTCAGCTGTCTCTCTTGTCTGTCTGCCGCGGTCGGATTTCTTCCCACTCGTGCTTACCAACCACAAGGATTAGAAAACCCAGGAACCTGTTCCTCTTTTTTTTTTCTTTTTTCTTTTT